AATCTGATTCGCAGACTTGTGGTGAGTGAGACCTGGAGGGAGACCCAGTTTAAAATAATGCACCGAGCCTATGTGGCATACTTTCGTCCGGCTGGGACTACCCAACAGCAGTTGGTGTCACGATGCCCAAAATGTGGATCAGAACGTCCCTCACTAACGCACTGTCTATGGTCCTGCCCCTCTATGGTGCAATATTGGACAAGGATGGCTACCGTATATACTCGAGTATAAGCCCATTTTTGTTGCTGAAAAGTGCCCCCCCTCGGCTTATACTTGAGTCAGCGTCTCGAGCTGGTCAGGTTTCTTCTTACTTACCTCGCCGAGCGTCGTGTCACTGCTGCTCCGGTGGGCGGCGCTCCGAGCGGGGTCATCTGGCAGTCTCCGGGTCCTAATTTAGGTGGCCGGAGACTGCCAGATGACCCTGCTCGGAGCGCCGCCCACCGGAGCAGCAGTGACGCGACGCTCGGCGAGAGCGGAGACCTTTGATGAACAGGAACTGACCAACATAATGCAACCCTTTCAATACTAGAAATGGTACCTGAAGAACAAACTGTCGGGAAATCTGGGGCCACTGGAGGTGCTTTGAAGCTTTAAAGTTATAGTTTATGTGGTAATTAACCTTGAAGATTGGTAGTTCGATTACTAGACTACTCGACTTTTTCCTAAGCGGTTATTCAGCTACACAGAGACCAGTATAGAGGTTAGTGAAATAGCAGGGTAGTAGAGCAGCAACAAAAATAGGCTTATACAGTACTGCTTATAGTTACTGGGGCAACCAGCACGGGAAAAATGGAAAGAGGGAAATGTGTTGTTATTTCTGGTGCAATTGTCGAGGCAGTTGTGAGAAAACCTTGTATTCTTTGTATTATATGTCATGGTAAGGTACGGCTAGCCCTATTGGGGGCTTAGTCGCAAAAACAGAATAAAAGTTTGTTTAAAAAAAAAAAAAGTTCATGTGCGTGTAAAGGCAGGTGTTCCAATACTTTTGGCAATATCGTGTATAAAACATAGCTATAACAGTTGATGAATTACAGGAAGAATTTTCCAATATACCCTAATGCCATGACAAAATTAATATATGGTTCACCCTCATACATGTATAGTACATATTGCTCAACCAGTTGATTAGTTACGGCATAAGCAATTGCTTGCATTTTGAGTGATTACAAATGAACAGTAAAGTATTAATTCACAAATACAAGCTATACAAACTGTTACAATGTGCTGTAAGGAGAAGGTTTAATTTAATTTCATTCTATTCCCAGAATGTCCTGCAGGTTTCATTTTAAATGGTTTTAAGGGTTTCTCATTATGAGAGATGACCCTCGGCTTGGTGCAAACCCACTGGATAATAAATATAGAAAATGAACTGCGCCAATAAGCAAGCTAACAGCTACAAGGCACTGGAATGTATACCCACTGTGAGTGTGTATACGTGAAAAATGAATAACTAAATGTGCCGGGCTACAACAATGATCAGATATAAAGAATATAAAAAAACAGTGACTCAAACAAATGTCAGTGAAAAAAATCAATCAGGTGTAAAGTCTTTAAATCTTCATAAATCTGCAAAAATGTCCAAATATAGCAATAGTGATGAATATTTTTTGTTCCTTCACCAAATGCACCATGTGCACCACACCAGATATAGGGGTGCTCACCTTATTGATAGACCCCAGCAATCAGCTGATCCCTGATGAAGTCACGCTGGACGTAATGCGCATAGGGCGGAGCATTTGATGTTACATTGATCAGCTGATCCCTGATGAAGTCACGCTGGACGTAATGCACATAGGGCGGAGCATTTGACGTTACATTGATCTCTACGACTGAAGGCCGCAGTCATTTGATACTCTAGCACATACTCTTAAAAGATAGTCCATGCTATGTTACCACTGCTTTTATGTGAGTAATTTTCTTTTAATAAATCATACTCTGTTTGGATGGTACGCGCTATGGTGTTTGCTTTCTTTTTTCGGTCAACACGATCCTGGCATTGACACCTTATACTGAGGAGGCCTATAGATCGATAAAGATTGGAGGCTATTGCTTTCCTATTTAAGAAGTGTCGCACAGATCTGTTTGCTGGTCTGATTACACCATTGGAGGACATCTGTGAGCGATTGGAGCTGAGGGCCCCCTCCCTGGTTAAGAAGGGAATTGCCTGGTTTGACCTCTTGCTGGGGTCTATCAATAAGGTGAGCACCCCTATATCTGGTGTGGTGCACATGGGGCATTTGGTGAAGGAACAATAAATCACTATTGCTATATTTGGAAATTTTTGCAGATTTATGAAGATATCAAGACTTTACACCTGATTGATTTTTTTCACTGACATTTGTTTGAGTCACTGTTTTTTTATACTCTTTATATCTGATCATTGTTGTAGCTCTGCACATTTAGTTATTCAAACTCACTGGATGATGCAAACCCAGGATCTCACCAGAAAGCCACCAATTTCTCCCTCTCAGGCACCAGAGAAACATACAAGTATATAATCAAAATTCAACTAATCCCTCAGAAATACTACTGCCTTTCCCACCCCTACAATTAACTGGGAAGACCAAGAGTTTGTTCCTCCTTGCCCCTCCTCCACCTCCTCTGAAGGATGAAGAATGTGTGAAATTTGCATACTGTTTATACAGTTCATCAATACCTCACTTTCTCCTCCATTCCTTTTTTCTTCTTTTCCACACGTCTTTCCTCTTCTCTCTCTTTAGTGGCCCTACTCCATGGTTCGGCACTGTACCAATTTAGCCCTCTCTTTTATGGAATATGGTTCTGTATCAATGTGAAATTTCCTGATACCAAATATTTTATGAACCTATTGTGCCTACCTTACCTGTAAACATTCATTTATCTGTATACATTCATATGCAACTTGACTGACTACTTGTTATTTTCTTTTAAAGCAATAAAAAAAAGTGAATAAGATAAGTACTACTGCCTTTCTATAACTCTTTAAAGTGACACTAAACTGAGGAGTTAAATCGTAAAAATACTTTCAAGTACCCTATTAACAATTTGTGCTTCCATCTGGAGGTTGGCCAAATTTGTTCCACGTAGTCCCTATGTGTGTTATAAAGTAGCCACCACTCCAAGCTCACTCCCTTGATAGACTACGATCTCAATACAAATTAGTAAAACCAAACATGAGATTGTAGTCCATCATAAAAGTGAGCTTGGAGCGGTGGATACTTTACAGCACACACAGGGACCATGGGGAACAAAAGTAGCCACCCCCCAGAAGGAAGGACAGTGTCAGCAGAATTCAGAGATGATTTGAGGATCTACAGAATGATGCACAAATAAGCTACATTTTTGTTAATAGTTAAGGAACTTGAATGCATTTTTAATATTTAACTCCTGACTTTAATGTCAATTTAAGAGTAGAGATTTATATGACCAATTGTTAATTATCGACGATTTCTTTTGATATATCTCCATTTAGGGACCATTATAACTATTAACATTTCCTACAGTAACCTAGCTCCCTACCAGATCATCCCAACTAAATCCTCCATATCTAATCCATAAACAGTCTTGTAAGTGAGCAGAAAATTCCTTCAGAAGTAGTCAATGTCCTTCATTGTGGCATTCTGCTCCTCTGGATCTCTTATGTGAGCTTCCAGAAGGGCAATATGCCCACATCTGTCACAGAGGCATTCACTCTGAAACTGCTTTTCCTATTGTGCACACATGTGGCAAATTGCTCAGGGAACAAAACCTTCAACCTTGCTACCAATCATACCAGTTCCAAAAAAAGAAAAGCTACTGGCGATGCACAGAAACTGATACTAGTATCGGTATCGGTGCAGATACTGAGTATTTGGGCGATTACTCGTACTTGCATAAATGCTCCCAATACTTATCCTGACACTGGAACTCAGCAAGCGAGTCATTCCACGCCGCCCAGCTTCCTGATTGGCTGGGAAGCCGGCTCCATGCTCCCTCGTCACCAGGGAGCATGGATCTGGCTTCCTGGCCAATCAGGAAACCAGGCGGCATGTAATGACTCACTGCCCGGCTTCCTGATTGCCCAGAAAGCTGGCTCCATACTTTCTCATCACCTGGTGACGAGGGAACATGGAGCTGGCTTCCCGGCCAATCACGAAGCCGGGTGCAGCGTCATTACACGCCGCCTGGCTTCCTTAATGGTATCGGTATCGGCGTATCCCTAAAAATTACTTATAGGAAAAGGTAAACTGGTTTTGTTAAATTGTTTTTGTTTTAAACTCTTGTGTTTTAAAGCCACATGCACAAGATGGAATGGTAATGAATAGTGCCCTCTAACTTTTTTATTTTGATTCCGGGTTTCAAATAGCATTTAACTTTTTGTGATCAAAACTCTCTGTAAGATCCACATTGGTCCACAAACACCATATTTGCTTGGATTTCTCACCATCTGCATCTGAACTTGCATGATTTTATTTCTATTGCTCTACAGGAAGCTACACAGAATTATATTGTTCTGCACACGCAAAGCCTGCAGTCTAAAAGTGTTCCCAGCCAGTATTTGCACACCTCACACAATGGCACTTACAGGTAAGATAAGCATTATTTTATCTGAGTGAGGGTGTGCAAAAAGACTGCAGCTTTTATAGACATTAAAACTTAGTTACAGCACATAAAAGAAAAAGACAACTGCTTTTGAACTGCTACATAGTCACATAGTTAGTCAGGTTGAAAAAAGACAGACACATGTCTATCGAGTTCAACCTATAGAGATATTAGAAAAAAAAAAAGGAAGAAAAGCCTAAACAGAACGCTACACCCACAATCACCCACTGTTAATCCAGAGGACATAGCGTTCGGTTTAGGCTTTTCTTCCTTTTTTTTTTTTCTTCATATGTAGATGTAAAGCTCTAATTAGTTTCAGTGGATGTCTTTTCAAGTCTATTCCCAATAATTAAAAAAAAAAAAATAGAAATACTATCTAGGTACCTGCAAACACAAACATTTTACTAATTAATACCAGTAAAATAAACGTTGTATCTTACCAGTGATATATAATTGCCATCAACTGACAAACTTGTTAGGGAGGAAAAATAATCAGTACTGCATCCTAAATAAAAGCGAAAATAAATAAACATTAATACATAGTTTTGGAAAAGAAAAAAAGAAAAGAAAGAAAAAAAACTGACCAAACTTAGTGACAGGAAATTCAATTGATGAAATTCTATTGTTTGTAATTATCAGTTGTTTCAATCTGCAAAGAGACAAGTTGATGTTATTTTAAGTTAAAACCAGTAGTAGTACTAAGAAAAACAACAGATAGGGGATTTTGGGTCCAAGCTATTTTTGAACATTGACACTTTTTTCTTTTTAAAATTCATCAGCACACACTATACCAAGACAGCATATATTATAACTTTGGTCATTTGACGACGACACCCTCTAAAATGCTTTCGACCTCTCAGAACTTCTATGCAAATGTATTTAGTAGTGGGGTTTTATACGAGCACCATAGCCTTTGCAGTATTTAAATACCAAGACTCTTGCTAGAGGATAATGCCGACCTTGTTGCACCTTTACAGAGGAAGATCTTTCGACCACTTTCAGTGATGCTTCTAATAATAAAGCTTCCATTTAAAATGTATAAACTGTATGGCTCTGTCCTTCCAGAACGCTTGTCAGTCATTAATGTGGCCTCAGTTAGGGCACAGTTGCCCTTCTCTATGATCAACACTATTATAATTGTTCTTCCCAAGCCAGATAAGGATCCCGGTCTGTCTTTTGTACTGGACAATTTCCCAGGTGACTATTCGGTTGCCTAAGGTTTTAGGTAAATTCGTCAACCCAGGCTAAGTGGGCTTTATTCGATCCAGATCCCCAGCTATGATCATATAGCAATATTTTTTCAACCTTCAGATTCCTTCAATAAATACTAGTAGTAGGGCAATCCTATTGTTGAATACTGCCAAAACTTTTGACCGTGTAGAATGGAGATACCTATGGCAGATCTTGGTCAGATTTGGGTTTGGGGAACAGTGCTGGTCTCCTCTTTCTCCATCAAGTATTTGAGGGGTCTGTCATTAAATCTTTCCAAGCTCTGCAGACAGAATTCTTATTTTAGTTTTACAACTGAGGCATGCACCTCATTGACACTGGACACTGATTTTAATCATTGTTACGGCTGTTGACACTAGAATAGGCATAATAGCTTAGGTATACTCCACCTTGCTCTTGGTGGCTTAACCTGAGGATTTGCTGAGGTGTAGGGAGAGGTGGAGTCGAGATTTGGGTATACTAGAGTCCGACTACTTGAATCAGATGTTGGAAGCGGTCCTCGGGTGCTCTCTTTCACCGATTTACAAGCTTACAATTATTTACATACCAAAACAACTGTGCGATATACCCTATGTAGTATGTTATGTAAATAATTGTAAAAAAAAGTTACAGATTATGTCTTGCGCTGATAATTAAAACCACCTGCTGCACGCATTAAAAATAAATAACAAACCAAAACAACTGTAATATGTGCCACGCTAAATACCTAAAATATCAATAAATGTCTTGTAAATATTATTAAAAATGTGTACATTCTCATATAATTGCAATACATTTAAACCAATTAAGGCCTTGTGAAACACCACGTGTGTGTCTCCATTATTGTTACTTAAACGTCTTTGTGCAAATATATAAAAAAAAATGTTCAGCCAGCCATGTGTTAAAATTGTGACAACTTTCCAATCCACCACCTAACCTGTGAGGCTCCGACAAACAAGCTACCAAAGCCTTATAAATAGACCTCTTTTCCAAAAGGTCTATATGCGCTTTGTGACATACACATTCAAATTAGATCCTTAAAATGAAAATGATAACGATCCTCTTCTCTTTCACACCACAAAGGCTGCATTCCAGAGTGTTCGGCCTCTGGAACGCAAGCCGGCCGGCTCCCTGCGTTCAGGGGCGGGAGGGGGCGTGGTGGTGCATTAATGTCAATGGCACCGCAGCCACGCCCCCCGCCCACAGTGTGATCGAACCCGAAACGCTGCAAGCACTATTTTTGCAGATTGCACTGGACCGGAACGGAAGCACTAACGTGCCTGCATTCCGTGTGCGTTTGATCGAACTGCGGGGGCGTGGCTGTGCTGCCATTGACTTCAATGTCAAAATTCAGCCTTTTTAGTATCAGTTGCATAGGTTCCATATGCTTCTCTGGTTTAACAGGATAGATTGCGGTAGACTGCAAGTTTTGAGAATATTATAGGCTGTGCAAGTGAAGTATGAAAACAATGAATGGCTTATTTATGTTTGGGGACATTAATCATACCATGTTTGTGAGATATTTTAATGAGACCATCAAAACTTTCACCACGAAAACGGTTTTCACTTTTAAATTCATAATCTATATGAATGCTTACAAAGGAATTACCAATTAGGAGTATAACTTGGATACATATTTTTAAAAAGATTATTTCTCTTCCGTTCATTGAAGGACTCGGTGGAGATCTTGAATCTTCTACGGATGGATTATATAACGCCACCTTCAGGAGTAGGACAGTAGGCACAAAACAAAAGCTCAGCCTAGGGGCAGCCCTTAACTGTGGCCAACCCCCCTAACAGCTAGAGCCAGTTCAGTTTTTTGCCTAGTGTCAAGGAGTAAGGACCTAGTTTCCCTGCTGGGTCTTCAGCAATTTTTTTTATTTTTCTTCATTTCTTCAAGGCTTTCAATCAACAGCTGGATAATATAGATCCCCAGTGCATCCATCGAGCATATGCAGATCTCAGCTACGTGCGGGGTTGGCTGCCACAGCCCTGTCTTGGATCTTAGGGCGGCCTGTGAGTGTTCCTCATGGGGGGCACATATGACCCAGTGACCTCATTGGCTGACAGCATCCCTGCTGCGGCAGAGAGACAATCTGTCCTGGGAAGATATGTCCTTCATGTAACCTGCAAGGATTGGTAAGTGTGTCAGCCCTCCTCTCCCCCTTCTTGAGGGCGGTGGCTGTGAGTGGTCTGTGGGTACCATGTCTCCCTCTCTCCAGCTTCACCCCCACCTCCACCCTAGTGTGGCACGTTATGCTTTTGTTTTTGGGTCATGGTGTATCTGTAAAAAAAAAAAAAAGTCAAGACAACTGGACTTGCTGTATTTTTCTTGAAGACGTTTCACTGGTCATCCATCCAGCTTTCTCAATTCAGAATTGAGAACGCTGGTTGGATGACCAGTGAAACGTCTTCAAGAAAAATACAGCAAGTCCAGTTGCCTTGAATTTTTTTTTTTACAGATATACCATGACATGGATGAATGAGAACCTTCACAGA